AAACCTTGTCCAATAATAATTAATAATAATAATAATAGTAATAATTAATGACATTTATATAGCGCTTTTCTAGGCACTCAAAGCGCTTTACATTGTCAGGGGGTATCTCCTCATCCACCACCAGTGTGCAGCATCCACCTGGATGATGCGACGGCAGCCATAGTGCGCCAAAACGCCCACCACACACCAGCTTATTGGTGGAGCGCCGATGAACAGATCCAGCAGAATCTTGATGCTGGCTTAGCCTCCCCAATTAATAGCTGCTGGGCTTCACCCATCGTAATGGTGCAAAAGAAAGACCAAACATACCGCTTGTGTGTAGACTACCGGGCATTAAATGAGCACACCATAAAAGACGCCTACCCACTTCCAAGAATCCAAGACACACTAGACACTCTGTCCACAGCAAAGCGGTTTAGCACATTGGACCTTGCCTCCGGGTACTGGCAAGAGGAGTTGACCCCACAGGCGAGACAGGCAGCTGCGTTCTGTAGCAGGAAGGGGCTCTTTGCGTGGAACGTCATGCCGTTTGGCCTTTGCAATTCCCTGGCAACTTTCCAGCGCTTAATGGATCGTGTCTTGGCTGGAATGCAGTGGGAGATCTGCCTAGTATACCTAGACGACATCATTGTGCTGGGCAAGGACGTAAAGGAAATGCTCCAGCGCCTGGCAAAGGTGTTTGAAAGGCTGCGCCAGGCCAACCTGAAATTGAAACCCGCTAAGTGTTGTCTCTTCCACCGCAAGGTAGTCTACCTGGGCCACATCAATGAAGAAGTACTGCCATCACCGCCAGTACTTCTTCATTCTCTGGGTGGACTACTGAAAAACTGCGTGCTGCCCAAGCAGCTGATCCTGATATCGCTCCCATCAAGAGGTGGATGAAGGAAAGCATGGTACGACCCTCCTGGGAAGATGTGTTACCCTACGGGCCGGCAACAAAAGCCTACTGGAGTCAATGGCAAAGACTGTACCTAAAGGATGGCATTCTGTTACGACGTTACTACCTGAATGAGGGCCCTGAGTTTTACCCCCAGATTATCCTGCCACAAGTTTTCCGGAAAGATGTCATGCACCAGATGCACGAGGGTCCAGTGGGGGGACATTTCGGTGCGGATCGAACGCTGTCCCGGCTGCAGACTAGGTATTATTGGTACAAAATGCGAGAAGATGTTTCACTTTGGTGTCGCACATGCACCAGCTGTGCTGCAAAGGCTCGACCATTAAAGAGGCCTCAGGCACCCATGGGTACCGTGCGAGTGGGTGCCCCCATGGAAAGGATTGCTGTTGATTTGATGGGCCCCATAAATGAAACAGAACGATTCAATCGTTACATTCTCGTAGTGCAATATTATTTCACCAAATGGGTGGAAGCGTACCCCCTGCCCAACGACCAGGCTGTTACTGTGGCAGAGGTTATAGTCGCTGAATGGGTCTGCCGTTACGGGGCACCACTTACCCTCCATAGTGACCAGGGCACCAATTTTGAATCGGAGGTCTTCCAAACAATGTGTGAGCTGCTTGACGTTGACAAGACCCGTACAACGCCTTTCCGACCTCAGTCAGATGGGCAGGTCGAGTGATTTAATGCCACTCTACAGAAAATCCTAGCCACAACCTCTGAGCGATGTCATTGGGAATGGGATCTGATGGTTCCCTACGCTGTGATGGCTTACCGAGCGACCAAGCACAGTTCGACTGGATTTACCCCAAACATGATGCTCTTCGGCCGGGAGATAACGGAGCCCACTGACCTGGTCGTAGGAAAGCCCCCCAACGACACACTGACTCAATCATTCCCACGATATGTGGTTCAGATGAGAGAAAGTTTGGAGTTGGCACATCAAGTTGCAAGGGATGCACTTGGCCAATCGGTGGAGCATGCTAAAAAGCAGTACGACAAGAGAGCAGCCAGGACACGCTGCAAAGTCGGTGATGCGGTGTGGCACCTTGTCAAGGGAATGAAGCAAGTGAAAAACAAAATCAGGAAGTTTACTTTATCTTGGGACATCTGGACGACCTAGTGTACCGGATCCAGAGAAACCCGAGGACCAAAGTAAAAGTCGTTCACCATGACAAGCTCAAACCATACCATTCTTGGCAACCCCTGGAGAACAGCTGGGTGTTTAAAGACTCAGAAGTTTGGCAACCTCAGGAAGTTCCTGCCCCAGACCTGGGAGTCGATGGAGCTGAACTTGACTTGGATCTGTCTTGTCTCTTCACGGAGGAAACCAGAAATTCCGGTGGCCCAGACAGCATGCCTCTCATGGATGACACCAGTGTGCCGATAACTGAGCAGGACACAGAGAATGTTCAGTGGAGAGAAGGTAGCACGGTGCAACAGGATTTAACAGGGACTGTTAACGGCCAAATGAGGGGTAGGCCGCAACGAGTCAGGAGATCACCGAGGAGGTTTGGGGACTGGACTAATTGATTATTAAAGACTTAGGGGGAAAAAAAAGAGAAGGAAAGAATATTTTGTTGGCAATTTGTTATTGTTCTACAATTGTTCAAAAAAAAACAAAAAAAAAAATTGATGCATGTCATCTGTGAAAAATATTATTTTATGTGTTCCCTTTTTGTAACCCAGGTGGATTTTGTTGTTTACCATTTTGTTAAGAAAACAAGCCAAGTGTATATTTAATTAAGTTTTATTTGTATGCAATGGCTGTTGTTAACCTCTTTTCCTTCTGCAGGCCAGTAGTGGAGAAGCCGGCGGTCTCTCCGCTTGTTCCTGCTGCCCGATCTCCTCAGCACCGCGATCCCCCTCAGCAGCAAGGGCTCTCTGACAGCATGTCCCTCCTGCCTCCCGGGTTTCGGCACCAATGTAACAAAGTTCGTAGTTCGGGAAGAAGGAGGCAGGAACCGGTGAACATTCAAAGAAAACTTTAATAATAAAATAAACATAAAATAGACAGAACCAAAACACAAAATAGAGTCCAGGCCTGGTCCTCTCTCCTCTTTCACTGTCGTAACCTCCTTTTATCCTTCCGGGATGCATTATGTGTAATGTAGTTCAGTGTGAAATGTGCTGGAGAGACGTGCCCTCACTGTGTGCTGTGCAGTTGAGAACTGAGGGAGAAAGTTTGTATTCCGCTTACAAGTTAAGTAAAATCAGTCCACACCATAGCTGTTTTGCACTGTGAACATGACAACATGAGAACGAGTAAAAAAAATGGCATGCATCGGTAATTTTGTCTGTCTCTTCCCTTGCACGAACATGAATTGTCAAGCTGTTACGCTGCCACCGGAAATCACTGAAGTGGAGAAAGTAACACTGGGGGATCGAGTC